GGGGGGGAGTTACAACATTTTTCTTGTAAAACAAAGGGGGGCCCAGCAAAAAAAAGTTTGGGAACCACTGGGGTAACTAAAGCTCATCCCAGCTGATTGTGAGTTGGACCTTAAAAAGACTAATCAAAAGTGTTATTAAAACACTTTATAAACCTCTTATAGATGGTGATTAATGAAATGTTAACACCAGTTTATTTTGAAAGCATGAGCAATTTAACAGATTTATTCACGTAACCACATCAAATGGGAGGACATATGAAGATGATGCAGGCTTCAGCAGACAGACTGTGACTCTTTCTGTTTGCTCTTCACTCAGCAGATGGTCTCCACAGCAGCATTTGGTCTGCTGGTGCAGGGAACTGCCCTGTGAGCACTCACCATAGCTCTGGCCGTCCCTGCAAATGGTTTGGCTAAATCACATGATGCAGGGGCCCGTGGCATCCATTTGTCAACAAGATGACTCCATAGATCAGAATGATAACATATGGGACTGGGTTCAGTTTTCATGTTCAGAGTGAATAAATGGCCATATGGCTGTGGTGGGTTTTTTGTGTTTATTTTTTCATTTATTTATTTTTTAAGCCCCACGGCAGACTGGCAACCTGTCCAGGGTGTATCCTGCCTCTCGCCCTAAGACAGCTGGGATAGGCTCTCCGCAGCGACCTTGACAAGGATAAGCGGAAAAGGATGGATGGATGTTTATTTTTTTTGTCTTGCTCTAACCCAACTGTGGTTCAAACAGGATTGTTTAGGTTTTATTTCATCACCTCTAGATCCTTGTTCCACTTGAAGTTGAAGTTGTGTCCTTTGGACTAAAAATTGTGGAAACCCCACTTATTTTTATCTATTTCTATCACGTTTTATTTCTCTATCTTCCTTAGTTTACTCTGTTGTCTTTTCATTAGCATTTAATGAAATAAAAACTCTTAACAATAAATAAAGGTGAAACATTTTGACTCAGTTTTACTCCCCAAAACAGGCACTCAAAATGAGACCAAAATACACGACAAATCGCAGAAATATACAAAAATGAACCTTACACAAAAAAGCACTTATATATATATATTTAAAGAAAATCAACCAATATTACTTATAGTAAGCTGAGAAACAAAATCAGTGCTGCCAGCCACCGTGACAGCAACTACATAAGCACATAAAATAATCAGGCAAATTAGCAGGAATACAGAACAAAGGTAGTGAGTCAAAATATAAGGATTTTTCCAGTGCTGTTACTCATGAGCCCATACCATACCACTGCAGGGTTCCTCATTACAAGAGAAGATGTCACCTCCCGTTCATCTGCATGGATGACATATTTCTGAGGGTCATAACCAGAGGGAGATTCTCTGGCATGAGTAAAACCATCTCTCATGTGGACTTATACTTCCCGAGGCCCAGCTCAGCCTTTAACAAGCATTTAAAATAGATATATAGCTTGATTTTATGGAGATAATGTTCTTTTTGGGCAGTTGTTCAGTCCTGATCAGAACCATCAGATTTGAAAAGTAGAGTGCAGACTGTTCTTTTTCCAGTTTGGAATGATTGTACAGCATACATCTTTAATCACATGAATTGGTTTGAATTTGTTTTGGATTTTCTCTAATCCACACAGGGTCCAGACCCTACACCTCCACTAATATTTGGTCAAATGTCCCTTAGCAAGTTACAACTTGAAAAGACGCTTCAGGCATAACTGTGGCTCGATATTTGACAATTCTTCTTGGCAGAATTGGTAGAGTTTAAATCAGTTTGAGGCAGATTTTAAGGATAACCTACACATTTTCAATAGGATTGCACTCTGGGTTTTGGAAAAGCAATTCCATCAGCTTAATGTTTGGCTGCTTTATCCATTACAAAACCAGTTTTGATGCATTTTCATGCAGTGCTTTATTTTTTTGGTCAGCATCCCCTCAGTCCATGGTGAAAACTCTCCTCACTGTGGACAGCGACAATGGTGTTCCAGCAGTTTCCAGTTCATGGCAGGCTTGAGTCTTGGTGGTTCTTTGGTTATTCCTGAACATCCTAACAAATTTCCGCTCATCTGAGGGTGACAGTTTGGATCTTCTTCCAGACCATGGCAAAGTGATGACAGATCCAAATCACTTCTACTTATGTAAAACAGTTTGAAAAAATGATCCTGGAATCTGCAGTTGTTTAGAAAATGCTCAAAGAGACCTTCCTAACTTTAAATCTACAGTTATCCTTCTGACGCTTTCACCAAGTTCCTTGGACTTTCCAATTGTTATGGGTATTGGTCAATCCAGTGAGTGCTGTCAACATCACATATTAAAATATTAATGTGAGTTTTACCCGGTGTGGATAAAAGAAAATCCAAAATAAATTCAAATTTGTGCCCCCAGTTCTTCTTTGTTTTTGTTTTTAAGTCATTAAAGATGCATGCTGTATAATATTTCCATCCTGGAAAAGGTTTTTCTTTTTAAAAATCACTGAAAGCCCAAACTTACCACTGCGTTCGCGCCAATGAATAGTGTATGGAAATGTATTCCTTATCTTATTTTCATTTCTCCTTTTTTCACTGTAATTTAGATATAAATTCAAGATATGATTGCGCATAACCTAAAATCATTGCTGTGACTGCTAAAAACTCTCTGAGACTGGACTTCAGGCAGGATACGGAGCAGAAAATCGGACAAATGTTGTGCTCTGGCGCCCTCTGGAGGCAAATTAAGCAAACATCAATTGTAGTTTTATGTGAAAGGCAAAAGATAAAATGCTTTAATCGTTTTAAATACCCGCTGTTGTCCACTGATGTAAGTGAATATACACATAGCTGTACTCTCGCCTGAGGGGGGGACTGTGGTTCTTTCAGTCAATAACTCTGATGTGAATGACAATAAAAGCTGTGGCCGCCTGATTGTTGTTTCTGGTCTGTGTCACATTTTCAGGCTGGTTAGGCTGACCAGTGCTTCAGGCTCTGTGAATCAATAAATTAGTGTCAAGAAATAAAAGTGAGACAATGCATTATGAGGACAATGAACTGTGATGTACCGCAAAACTCACCCTCAAGTAGCTACAAAATTCAGGCAGAGGCAGAGGTTTCTTGATGGTCCACAGACAAGAAAATGTGACTGAACACTGACCTTCCATTCAGGTTTTATTCATTAAGATTGTTCTATCATTTAAAAGACACATCCTCATTATGCCTTTCTTCATGCCTGGTTTGATTTAATGGCAGGAAATACATAAATCCAACTAAAGTAGAAGAGAAAGTACATCTATAAAGATTCACCATACAGCATCTGAAACACTGGATATCAGTTGAGTATCAGCTACAGCTTACGCATTAATAAGTCACTGTAACAGTCACCACTCATTTGTGAAGGCTTTCCACAAGATCTTGATCTCTAGCTGCAGGGCTTTTTATCCATTACATCATCAGACGCATCAGTGAGCTCAGTCTGATGTTGGCTTGTTAAAGCATGGCTCGCAGTGTACTTTATATTTAAGCGTATTGTGGTAGATGTGCATGCCTCAGGGTTGTGTGCATGCTCTTGGTTCTTTGTTTGCCAAAGAAAGTCAACTCTTTTTTTTTGAAACAAACCGCTTTTGTGTGCAGGAAC